TGTAGCCAGACCTGTAGAGTGGTGGGGCGGGGCCTGTAGCCAGACCTGTAGAGTGGTGGGGCGGGGCCTGTACATAGACCTGTGGTTGGACAGGGCCTGTAGCCAGACCTGGAGAGTGGTGGGGCGGGGCCTGTAGCCAGATCTGTGGAGTCTGAGATTCTCTGTCTGCCCGCATGTCTGAGAGTCTCTCTCGTCTCAGGATGGCCTCAGGGTTTTGGAAGGTCTGGCCGCATCCGGCCTGCGCTCAGTGCGTTTCGCCCTGGAGGTGCCAGGGTTGCGCAGCGTGACGGCCAACGACTGCTCCTCTCGCGCTGTCAACCTCATCGCCCGCAACGCCCTGCACAACAGTGTGTCACACCTGGTGACGCCCAGCCACCGCGATGCCAGGTACCTTGACTGCTCTGTACACTGTTACTGTACTGTGTGAGTAAGTAAATACTGTGTAGAGTCACAGTCCAGTACGTTAGTGTTTACTGTGTGAGCTGCAGTAAATACCATTTAGAGTCACAGTACAGTACGGGCTGGACGGTGACTCTACACAGTATTTCCTGCAGCTCTGTTCTGCTGTTTTTTTTAGTGTTAGTCAGTACCGTCCTCTCCTGTTTTCCCAGCATGCTGATGTACGAGGCGCGCGGGCGGAAGGAGCGCTATGATGTTATTGACCTCGACCCCTATGGCAGCCCTGCCCCCTTCCTGGATGCTGCCGTGCAGGCCGTGAGCGAGGGAGGTCAGAGGTCGCTCCGTCTCGCTCCCTGTCTCTCACTGTTACATTCCAGCTGGACCCTGGGCAGACCCAGATGTAGGCCATCTCTGGAACCGGACCGGGCCTGGGTCACTCTCTGGTATCGATGTGCCAGGGAGTCGTCCCCAATCTTGCCAGGAGCAGACTGGTGATCAGGCCCCTGCTGCACTGGTGACAAGTGTAACACCAGTAATGTCACAATAATGACCATCGCCTCTGACGGCAATGGTCATCAGTGTGTTTAAGGATTGTGGAGATTCTTACTGCTGTAGTTGCTTTAGGGGTTTAGCCACATGGTACAGGCTGGAGTTCCTGCTGGAAGTGTCCTCCTGTGTTTGTGGCACAGGGTGGGCTGAAGGCTTTCCCTAGTCAGCAGTGCTGACATCAGGCTGCTAGTGACTGATCTGCTGAAACACTGCAGGCTGGACCTGTGCTTGTGTAGTAAGCTTGCACGCCCCGTGCTGGCAAGCTGACCCCAGTTGCCCTCTCCCTCTCAGGGCTGCTGTGCGTGACCTGCACTGACATGGCGGTGATGGCGGGGAACTGCGGGGAGACCTGCTACAGTAAATACGGCTCTGTGTCCATCAAGGCCAAGTACTGCCATGAGATGGTGAGCAATGGGCTCGTCGACGCTTAAAAATTGGAAAGTGTCTTGTCTGTGCTTACAGCATGCTTTAATTGACTGTGTTAGTTAGCGTAACAGACGTTAGTGTCACAGTGCTGTGTGTGTTACCGTACCACGTATCAGTGCGTCACAGCATTGTGCTGTGTGTCACAGTGTCAGTGTGTCACGGTGATGTGCTGTGTGTCACAGTGTGTCATGGCATTGTGCTGTGTTGTGTCACAGTATCCGTGTGTCCTCAGGCCCTGCGGATCATCCTGCACAGCCTGGACCAGAGGGCCGGAGTGTACCAGCGCTTCATCGAGCCCCTGCTGAGTGTCAGCGTGGACTTCTACATCCGAGTGTTCGTCAGGGTGCGCACGGGGCAGGCCAGGGTCAAGAGCTCGGCCAGGTACCCCGCACACGCAGACTGTGCTGCAGCAAACAGGCTCTGTG